TTGCGAGGATCAAAGTTAATCAAGTTTAACTCAAGTTCTTCAAGTTTCAAAGCATTTCTTCAATTACTTCAGAAGAATTTAATACAATAATACAATATAAAGCTGTCACTTTTAGCCTATATTCCTCCATTCACACCATTAGCTCATATTAATGTGAACGCAACAAGCTAAAGGAAGGCAAGACAGATGATTTACTTGGTGTCACTACTAGATAGTGAAACATGAGTAATTAAAACACCTTTGAAATATTGGATTTTCTTTGTTCTTGTACGGCTTTTAACTGTATTATTGGAGTTCATGTTTTGAAGCAGTTTAAAAAATGCTTGAAGAACTTCAGTTAAACTTGATTAACTGACGTTTTTAATAATTAGTACGTTAAGATAAACATTAAAAAATGCATAGTACTGGGTGCTTGTTGATTGTGTAATGAAATTTTGGAGATCACATTCTCATCCTATTTTTTTTCTGAGAAGTCACTGCCTCCCCGGTCTCGGAGAAAACGCCCCTGGTTCCTATTTTAGATGAAAATAAACTCGTCATCCTGTAAAGCACAATGACTTTATGCTATTAGTCAAGCGTTCTGAGAGGATACGCTGTAAAATGGCACAGTCACGTTGCCGGTCAAGAGGGAAGTCCTTGAAGCGTGCTAATCTCTTTAAACGCTCACAAGATGAATAGTTTAACAGCATCACGTTTGGACATCCTAAACTGCAGTTCATGCCGCATCAAGTAATTTTCCTATCAGACCGAAAGCTGTGCCACATTTCTATTTACTTCAAATAAATCAACATACTGAACAACACGCACTTTCCAAGTCTGTTTTTCGACTTCAGGACAGACCTCAAAAACAAAACAAGACAGCTCATCTGATCTTTGCATTGGAGAAACAGCCGTGCAAACAGGAAATGAGGCACAAACACGGCCTACAAGTGGACAAAGAACATCTTTGAGGACGAGAAGCCAGTGTTTCCCCTCGAAGGTCCTCTGCCCCGACTGAAACCCACACATTCCCAGAGTGGAACGGGCTTTTCTTAGGAACTCAAAGCCTGTTTGTATCTCGCATCTGTTTGACTATTCAGCTCTGCGGGGAGAGACTGGCTTCTTATCAGTGCACCGCAGACCTAGTCAGCCCATCATATCCGTGCTGGAAATACGCTGAACTTCCAGTAACCGCCCTCACCCTGTGAGAGATCCCGCTCTGCTGCTAAACAGCCTATGAATATATGCATAATCCTCTTGAGTGACTACCAAACCCTTCCTCTTCCTCTTCTATCAAGAAGTCAATCTGCTGATAAATCAAATTTCATCATTATGCAACGCACTATAAGCGTGCAATTTGCAACACGAGGCTCATAAAGGCTTTCGCAGATGCTGCAGGTCGAAACAACAACACTATCTAATCCTGTCACGATGTGCTGATATGACAACGTCACCTAAACCCGTCTAAACCAACCTCAGAGTCACCTGTGAAAGAGTGAATCGCATGGAAACATAAGCAGGTCATATCTGACCCCAAAAACATGTAAAAACTTATATTGCATTAAATTATATTGATTTTATTTTCATGACAATTAAACACACCTGTAGCCTAAATTCTCATTATTGTAATGCAGACACTACTTTTCAGCTTCTTTATCATTCCTATTATTCTTATGTGTGGTTACTATGGATCATCTCAACCGATTTGAATCGTCACATATTTGAATCGATTTTCAACCGGCTCGCGGTTAATCGTTACATGTGGTTACTGAGATATGTTAATATTTCAGTGTAAATTAGTTACAACTAATATAGCATAAGTAATATTATGAGAGGTTATGAGAGGATATTATGAGAATTTGAGAGGGAAATGCGCGTAATGTCATGAAAATTTGTTATTTTCTTTATGCAAAATCTAAAAATATGGCTGAAGTATGACTTTGACATGTTCGCTTACAGGTTTCACCGAAAAGATTTTAAAACCGAACATACAACCATGAGAGCCACAATTAAGGTCAAATTATGATTTTATACCCGTTTACAATTATGCATCATCCTCACTGTGTGCCCAGAATTTTCAAAAAATCATCCTTAACAATGGATGAATAAATATTTCTATCTTGTACATTCTCATCATAAACATGCATTTTCTTTATGCATATGACTTGAACATGTTGGTTTCACCCAAAAGACTTTATAACTGCACTTTAAAGAACACGAGGGCCACAATTAAAGTCAAACAAGATTTTTTACCCGTTTATGATTATGCAACATTCTAACTGTGTAGCCAGAATTCGCAAAAATCATCCTTAACAACAGACATATATAAATAATTATACATTTTCAACAAATGTTTCTATCTTGTATATTCTCATCATTATAATTTGTCATTTTCTTTATGCAAAATCTACAAATAGGCTGAAATATGATTTGTATATTCTTTTATAGGTTTCACCCAAAAGGCTTTATAATATAAGATTTTTACCTGTTTACAATTATGCAACGTCCTCACTGTGTAGAAGAATTTGCAAAAATTCTGCAACCAATGGATGAATACATTTCCAGCAAATGTTTCCACCTTGTACGCTCTCATCATTAAAATGTGTCATTTTCTATATGCAAAATCTAAAAATAAGGCTGAAATACAACTGGGGTGTGTTCTTTTACACGTTTCACCCGTAAGACTTTATAACTGCATAAATATCCATAAGAACCTCAATTAAAGTCAAATACGAGTTTTACCTGTTTACATTTATGCGACGTTCTCACTGCCAGAATTTGCAAAATAATCCTTAACAACCGATGGATGAACAATCTTTCACCAACTGTTTCTATATTGTTCATTCTCATAAAAAATGTCTTAATGCAAAATCTAAAAATAAGGCATGGACATGCTCAAGGCTGGTAGTGCACGTGAAATGCATGCATGCATGGGGTGAGATAGAGAAGGGTTTAATGAAAAGTGTCATATGAGAGGGTGCATCAATTAAGCACTGTGACTTTTGACCTTTACAGGAGGGTAAAGCAGATTAACCAGCGAAACCAAACAGTCCATCAGAAGAACAGACAGGCAGGGCTGTGAATGTATATTCCCATCAGAGCAAAATGCTTCGACGTGCATGAGACACGTAAAAACTTGATCAAATAGAGGCCTATTTT